CACTAAAAATTAATCTGTGACCTGTAATTTTTTAATCCGTGACCAATAAAATAATCTGTGACCTTTAAAATTATTGATTTGTGACCATAAATAATCTGTGACCTCCAAAAAATTTTATCTGTGATCGATATACAAATTGTGACCTATAAAAGTTTTGAGCTGTGACCTGAGTTGTGACTTGTGACACGGGCTGTGACTTGTGAATTGGACTGTGATATGGGCTGTGCCTCGTGACCTGAGTCGTCGGAATCGAAGCAGTCGTCGGAAACGGTCACCGGAATCGGAGTAGTCGCCGAAACGATCGTCGGAATAGTCGCCGGAGCGGTCGGCAGAATCGGAATAGTTGCCGGAATGGTCGTCGGAAAGTTCGCCTGAGTAGGGCGGTGATCGGAACGGTCGTCGAAACGGTAGGGGTGGTGAAGGTGGGATGGGTTAATTATATTATATTATAATTATATGTTTAATAATAAATCAATTTAATAATTTATTATTTCATAAATAAAAATTTTAAAAAATTTAAAAAAAAATCTGATTTTGGTAACTTTAAAATTGTGTTCTTATTTTTGANTCTGATTTTGGTAACTTTAAACTTGTGTTCTTATTTTTGAAATAGACTAAACTTATACTCTTAAATATGTAATCTTCCATTTATTTAATGCATATTCATGCTACACAATCTCGTCACCAATTTAGGTATTTTAGTTTATCTATGTTTGACTAAGTTTAAAGAGTTCACTTATAATTAAATAAATAAACTTTATAATAATATTTTTATTGATAGAAGTAAAAAAATAAATAATTTATTTTAGCATTAAGAGAATCTACATGTTTAAATAATCTTAAAATTAATTAATTTTTTAATATCTATATGAGTTTTCATATATTATTTATTCACACTTACAAATTAAAAATTTACTTATTTGACCATGAAATAGATGTTATTACTAAAATAAGTAACTTGTTGTATTGTATTTAGTTAATAAAAGAAATATTTATTAAAAACATATTATTTATAAACTAATTTACTAATAAGTATATTATTAGTGGACCAAACATGAACATTTATAAATTAAATTTCAGCCCACCACAACGTCTTTTTCTAGCTCCACCCTTGTCAACGTGTTCTATCTAAGCCTCCATTTGACAAATTTTTAAATCATTTATTGCCCACTTATTCATCACTCATCTCAAATTTGTAAAATTTTCCCAAATGTAGGCTAATAAAATTTTATATTTTTCTAGGTTTTTGATTGAATTTTCTATGCACCAATGCACAACATGGTGTGCCATTAGCGAATGAGAAAAAAGAAAAAGAAGCAGTTCGGTCAATTGCACATCGATGAGCTCCATTGTATACAAATCATCTATTTCAAGCATTGACAAGGAATAATGCTGTTTTTCCCATTAAAGATCACGACCAATCGATGTAGCCGATCATTTACTATGAAATGATATAATCGATTAAATGTATGGATATGAAACTCAATTTATTGATTTTATCATTTAATTTCACATTATGTAGCAATCTTATTTAATAGAGATAAATTGAATAAGTCAAAATGGGCACGGGAACTTTCAAAGATCAATTATTGTCCATTGAAGAAACAAATATAAATTAGAGGAATAATTTTGAGTTATCTTTAGAAAAGTTTTACAAGAAAACACGTTGTCGTTTTTAGAGTAAAATAAAAGTAGTTAAAATTTTGCAAGCAACAATTTAGTTTGTTTGTGTACAACAATTTCCCCGTACAAGTGAATTTACCTTTTTCCTTTTCGAATAATGTTATTTATAATGAAAGCTATCGATACTCGCCCTATAAGTGTAGCGGTTTGTTAGTTGATGTATGATGCAATAAAAAGCTACAATATTAATACATCAAATAACGAACTACCACATGTATGTCACGTAGGGCAACTGCCTGTAATTTTCACTATGAATTACCCTTTTTCTTTTTTTTTTTTTTTTTTAAAGCAACCCAGAAGGGATCCAACTGTTATTTTTCCAACTTCAGGTGTACTGGTTTTGCCCCTTTCTGTTCATAACAATTTCAAAGCATCACCGACCCACAATTGGTCTTTAGTTTAGGTTTATATTTGGAAATTCGTAAATTTTGGAAAGCTTAATGTTTTATCCCACGATGTGGTGAGTGAATTTACTATTTTTATCATGCTTAGTTAACAATCTTTAACTGAATTAAACGTTCAGGATTTATGTCAATGTCTTGGTCTCAACTCTCAAGGCCAAAAAAGAAAGACCAGATAACTTGTTACACTTCAATTTTTTACTTTGAGGCGCTGAAGGTACACATCATTTGTGGGTTAATTTCCTTTGTTGTGGGTTAATTATTTGAATAGTTATTGAACTATATCAAGGGTTATAATTTTTTTTTTCCTTCGAATCGATCTCTATGAAAATCCTAAATGGCATTGACGGAGTTCACGTAGAATTTCCCTCCGTCCACATGGTCCATGTGGATTGATGGAATTTTTATGAGTGATGGAAGTGTAAAATTTTTCAAATATGAGTAAACAGTGAGCAAGTAGTAATCTGTGATAAAGTTAAGTGATCATTGATTTAATTAACTTGCATTTGTGCTCATCGAGGAAAGCAGCTCTCTTTTGACACCTTAGAAGATGTATTGATGATTTTCTACTAATATTTTTTTCACTATGTTCTGAAGGGCATGTACATTACAGGTAACAATGCAGTGTGAATTACCCAAAAAGTGGTCACGTTTTCAAGAATTCGTATTGAATCGAAAATCAAGATGTTGTAACTCCCTGTTTATGTACTGTGTGCGATGAAAAATATGAATCCCAGTGTAAAATTGACTGATACATAAATTGTTGTCGATATGAAGTGGCAATGTCCTTTTGACCAGTCTTATGATAGATTTATATCATACCTATTTTTCCAGACAAATTAACTGGTAGATCTTGTGTTTGTCTGAATATCTAGATCTAACCTAACAAGTTAATTTACTGTTCTGGCTATTACCAGTTCAACAGAATTAAATGTTTTATGCAGGCTTATTGAACAAGAATAGCTACTTGGATGAATAATTACTCCAGATCAACGACACTTACAATAGAGAAATAAATTAGTACAAACTTCATGGAATACCTCGAGTATGATTCCTCGATATTCCTCTGAATTCATTGTCAAATAATAATCTAAGAGGCTGCGAAGATCCTTAGCATCACGAATACGGTTAACAATTATCATCTGCTCCATGGACTCTCTAAAATCCTCTCTGGGATCATAGGAGGATTTCTCCATTGCGACCATGACAACAAACTTAGTTTCTCTCTGTCTTATCCTTCTTCTCTCTTCGTTCCTCGCCTCCCGTCTTTCTCTGATCATTTGATCTAGCCTTTCTTGAACCATGGCATGTGCAATGCTGGAGATAGTTGGAAATCTATCAGAATTCGAGCTTTCAGCTTCTTCAGAGGAAGAAGATACACTGAGTCTGCAACTACAGCACAATGCCTTGCATCCTCTAAGTTGAAACTTGTGTTTCTTTACTTCTCTTGATCTTTGCATTGTTAATGGTTCACAATGAGTTTTGAAGTAGAATGTGAACACAAAAAATCATTTATGCAATTAAACAGTAGGTCACACTAATCATGATTATGTCTAGGGATTAAATTATAAACTATGTTACAAAAGTTGAAGTCCTACTGGATGAGGAAGACTGGAACTGATATGGGGAACATTCAGTTTGTATTTTAAGCTAATTAAAAATGATCATGATGTTACATAGATCAGCTTTAATTTCCTTTGTAGGATTATATTATGTGGCATGCTTTCCAATTGTGGTTGAAGTGGAAAGAACATGTTCAACTAACCTAAAGTAAGAGTGAAATATATAAATATAGTAAATAAAACTCGAATTAGGCATTTAGTATTGGCCGTGCCAAGTTGAACCGGGATTGATAAGGAAGATTGATCATAACTGAAAGTACGTAGGAAAATAGGTCAGTAGTGCTCTCGCCTTTTGCTCGACCGTGATGGATATAGCATGTTTGACTTGGCTTAAAAGTCAATAAAGAAGCTTCTCTTGCGTTTTCGATTGTATGTATAAACAAAGTGTTTCTTTTATTTGAAACGATGGCAAGACATGCTTGTTTTCCTTTTTTTTTTCTTAGTTTTCTTTGGAGAAAAAGGATCTTTGATGTCAAGATATTCTAGTAGACACGACCCGTACAAAGTAAACATACTAATAAATCCAATTATGTTTTGTGTTGTTTGATGGCTACCTACATCCACCCAATCCTATTATTCTTAGACATTAAATATTATAGAGATCTTGGTAGAGATTCATTAGGACTCTATATACATAATAATTATATAGGAACACTGATTAACACAAGGTCCACAAGTATGATGTTATGAACCACATAATCAAGGTTCATTGACATAAACTTTGGTAAGAAGTATCATATTTATCCAAAATGTTTGGTAAATAGCATCACACATTACAATGCACACAATTCCTTCTTTCTATATTGTCCATCTTCTTCTTCTTCTTTTTCAGTTGATTGCATATGGTTAAGGCACATGATAGTTAGTACAGCTCAAGAAATATTGCTGGTAGATTTTGCTTGTACTGCTTGACACCTTTCACAGATAAAAAGAAGAAGGAGATTACAGAAAATTAATTTAAGCAGTGCACTATAAAGCATGAATGAATTATTTATTGTTAAACAATGATTAATTAGATGGCTCATGTGACTGAAATGATCACAAAATAAAGCTACATAGCTAATTGTAATCAAGGACATAATATTCCTGGTGACTTTTGAAGCTTGAAGTAGAGACACCTACAAGCAAAAAACTTCATAGCCTTTTTCATATTCAAGTTCAAAATTTTAAGGTAAAGGTATCTATTTTTTTCTACACTAATCAAAGTGAAAGTAACCCTCACATCTAAACTTGTTGGTCTAAAAGTCTTCTCCAATTTATTGTGTTCTTCATCCAATCACACCCCTGCTATCTCTCCTCTTCGCACCATTGCTGCCCGCTCATTGTGTCCCACATCAGACATGCGCCCTATATATTGCCCAATCCCTATATTTGTTATAATTTGGGAGCCTCCGAGTTGCTCTCGTTCTGATTTTGGGGCTCTGCTCAGGGAGTCTCCCAAGCAAGAAATGGGAGGCTGAGGAAGTTGAGGCATGTTTGGATAAAAAGTAAAAAGTAGACACTGCTCAGGTTAATTACTATATCAAGACAACTCCCATGTTTAAAATATCACATTAACATTAAGGGATGGTAATGAGATGGGTATGGGGTGGGTCGACCATTCTCGTCCCCCTCCTCTTCGAATATTTTTATCATCTTGTCCCGCTTCCATACTCAATTAAAACGGGACGTCCCCCCCCCCACCCCCACCCCCACCCCCACCCCCCAACATTTAGTTTGTTTGCTTTTATTTTTTAATAATTTTAGTTAGTGAATATTATTACTTTTTTTTTTCCAATTTGTTAAGAGCAATTCATGTTCTCTTTAAAATGATGATAAATCTTCATTTTGTTTTTTGATAAAAAATGTAAATTTAAAATTATCTTTATCGTACCCGCTTCAGGGCAACAACTCTCGCCACGTTTACTCGATTAGGTGGGTAATTCCTGCCCCATTTTGGACGAGGTCGTGGGTATTAGATTGAAATGGATTTTTTTCCATCTCTATTAGCTTTTCATATTTCTAGTTTTGAGTATCATATAAAATGAGGTTGATGTGTCTAAAATGCCACCTTAAAGAAAAAGATGAAAATTTTACAATTAGTTAAAATTTAGCCCTTGTTTGACAACCATTAAAGCAAAACTCTATTTTTTTTTTTTCTCATACTCATTTTTAATCACAGGTTTTCACAATAAAATATTTTGCATGTAACTCAAAACTTTTTCCTACTTTTTAGCCATACATTTTCAAAAAATCATTATTCCAAAAATTTCATTAAAATGATTGTCAAACGGGGGCTTAATATGTTCTCTTGAATAATAAATTAATACTTCCGGATTGAGACTGAGGGTCAAATTGTTCATAGGAGAAGTGGGGCTGCAAAAGCTGTAGTGAGAGGAAGAGACCAATGGAGAAAAGCTTGTTAGCGTATGTGGAGATTGGGCTGACTGCTGAGGATGGTAGGATTTTGGGTAATATTTTAGAGACCAATGGATTGGCGCTAATTAGGAGTTGTGGTAACTAGCATTGTTCTTACCATTTGGGAATGGATAGGTAGCACAAACTTCACTACCTTCCATTTGTTTGATATTTTTATCCGTAATTACACATTTAATTGCACAAAACGTCATTCCATCCATTTCCATCCAAATCCATCGTTAAGTGAATAGGATTTTTTTTTTTTTTTCCAAAATGGAAGGGTATTTTTGTCTTATAACAAATTTTCTCCATTCTCCCTTTACACGAAACGTGACCCTAACTCATACCAATTTTTTTTCCCATGAGCAATTTTCTTTTTCACTTACTTGAACAATCTTCCCCGGCTTCAACATTATTCCCCTTCTCCTCCCCTCTTCTCGCCGATTATTAAAGCATACAGTGAAATGAATGTTAGTTGTTATTTTTGAGTTGGGTATTTTTGTTTTTCATTTCCTAATTTCTTCTTTAGAGTGATTTCAAGTTCCAGGGGTGAGAGTTTGGCTTTTATTTCCTCAAGAATGGTGATTATTGATGTTGCACAAGTGTCTATCATCTTCCAATACGAAAATGTTAGAAGAGGGATTTTGCTTGATCATGCTCCGAGAGTTGTAGTTAGAGAGACAACTATTATTGGAAATGTGTCAATTTTTCATAATGTGACTTATAGGTGGCCCAGGAAAATTTTTATGGGGACAAACATTCAAAAACTAGTGATGGGGTTTAGGTATGGCAACGGTACAATTCGGTTCGGTTCGGCCAAAACCAAAATCGCACCACCAAATTTTTTGTCATACCATAACCGCATCATAACCACGTAAATTGGTTCAGTTCGGCTCTGTTCTATCTCGATTTGGTTTGATTCGGTTCGGTTAATAATCACGAAAATAAATTATTTTTTGTAAGTCCAAACTCCAACCATCAAATTGAAAAAAAAAAAAACTAAGAAGAAAGGTCAATAAAAACAAAAACACAATACNTAAACCTTGCACAAGCGCTGGAGTATGATGAAGGAGCAAAATTTTCTACAAATAATAGAGGAAAAAATTAGCAATAAAAGAAAGTGTATGAATAACAAATATAAAACAATAAATCCTACCATGAAAATCAGTCCAAAGTCAATCCCGAGCACACATTAAAGCTTCTAAAGTCTTCGGGTGAAGCATATTTCTATGTGGACTCATAAATCTACCACTTGTACTAAACGCTTACTCAGAAGCCACAATAGATACTGGAATGGCTAATAAATCTCTAGTAACCTTCTGTAAAGTCGGATATTTTATTGAACTTATTTTCCACCCTTGGCAATACTGGCTCGTCTAGAAAAATATCAAACTCTATTTTTACATGATCAGCGGTAACAGAATGTCTAACAAATGTATCAAAACCAGCCATGTGAGAATGCTTTCCAACAGTAGTAGACGACTCTGATTGTGAAGATAATGAAGAGTGATATGTATTTTCTTTTGAATGACGTGGGAAGATGGTTTGAAGCCAATGGACGCAGAACGACTCAGGGAGTGTGCTCACAAGATGGTAGATTATGTTGCTGATTACTACAATTTGAAGTTGAGGTACAGGCAACAGAGCACCGGCGAATCTGATTTGGTTCACTGGTTGAGTGGACGATTATTTTGTAAACTTGGTTTCCAATTTTCAATTTTAAAGTGTAGGGTTAGAGTTAGGTTACTGAATTTATGGTTTACTAGTAACGTTAATTAGGTTAGAATTTTGGGGAAGTCCAATTGTCAAAATTGTCCAATTAATTTTGGGAAAGAATAATGGAAAGTCCAATTGCCCAATTAATTTTTTTTAACGGGTAATCGGTTCGGGGTGGGGCATCGTCGCTAAATATCATACCCGCTATATCCCGAACCGAGTTATTAAAATCAAAATCATAACCACCACATTGCACCATCGGTTCGATTTTTTTCGGCTCGATTTACTGCGATTTTTGATTTTAACAGTTCGAATTGTCATCCCTAATGGGGTTCTAATTGGGGTAGGCACTTGTGTATTGGTTAAAATTGAAGATGGAGCTAAAATTGGTGCAGGTTTTGTGGAGTTGAAACAGATTCTGTGACAGAGACATTTTTCGCAATTACAGTAAAAAAAATATGGATGTCATACGTCAAACACTTTTAAAGATAAGGACGCTACACAAAAACATATTGATAGTTAGGGATGTTTATTACAACATTAATTTCAGTCTAAAATGGGATGAACTCCAGTTCATCTTCATCATTGAAA